TATCTATAATGATAAATTTGATAACATTTGTATTGTTTTAGAGCAATGATTGATTGTACATATGTGTTACACATTGCAAGTCCATGTGAAGTGATAACAGATGAAGCAATTATTGAAATAGCAGTTTATGGTACTTTAAATGTTCTTCGTGGTGCATCACAACAACACTGTGTACGGAAAATTGTACTTACTAGTTCATCTGGCGCAATTAATTTTAAGTTTTTTTTTTTTTATCTTTAATTTTAATAATTTTATTTTTTTGAAATGGAACAAAACATGCGTATTTATAGCATGAATATTATATGCTTTACTCATTACATCTACATCAAATATTAATACATTTTATCACTTAATTTATCACGAAATTAAGCTAATGCTGGTAATTAATTGGTGGAACTTTATCTTAAGGTTTTGTTTTTTTTTTTTTTTTTTTTTTTTTTGTATTCATTTTAAAATTATTTTGAAACAATATTTTACGCTATTTTTAAAATTAAATCTTAAATAAGTATTTAATAATGCATTGTAGCAACTTTACATTTCAGTAGGATATGAAAGTCATAACAAACTTTTCACTGAGAATGATTGGACAAATTTAAGTTGGAAACACTTACATCCTTATCACAAAAGTAAAACATTAGCTGAGAAAACAGCTTGGAGTTTTATGGAAAAAAATCCAGGTATGTTTGCATTTAATATAAAACAAATTTCAAATCAAAATTTTAAATTGCAGAACCAAAAAAAAAAAGAAAGAAAAAAAAGACAAATTATTAACCAAACAAGATTATTTTCTTGAACGAAATGAATTTTATATAAAATTCTATGCATAAAATATCATATATTTCTATTCTAATTGTTCTAAAAATTATCAAAAATTTTCAAACTACTGTCACTTTTCTTTATCTTTTCCATTTTCACAATTTTTCCAGTTATTTAATTTATAATTCAAACAAATATTATTCATTACAGATGTATCATTTTCATTAACAGTTTTAAATCCTTCTTTAATTGTTGGACCATCATTACAAAATGCTAAAGGATCAAGCATTATGGTATGTTTAATTTAATCAAATATACAAAGTAATATAATAATCAAAATAATGTATAATGAAATGATAAAATTTTATCTCATTGATCGAATAAAATCATAAATAATATTTTCTTTAAAAAAATAAACTAAATATTATAAATATTATTTATTTTATCTCATAAAAAACCAATAACAAAATTAAGTATGAAGTAATAAAATAACAAAAATATTTAGTGCTTATTAAAATAATAAAATTTTATTTCATTAATCTAATATAATCATAAATATTAATTAGTGAGCTGTATAAATTTTATGTGATGATTCTTAAATATTAGCCAATTTATATTTAAATTATCATTTTATTAGCAATTATAGATTATAAGTCGTTTTATGGATGGTTCAATGCTAGCTTATCCATTAATGAAACTTGGTTTAATTGATGTTCGCGATGCAGCTCGAGCGCATATTTTAGCAATGAAAGAAACAAAATGTAATGGACAACGAATTCTTATCACCGCTGAAACATTATCTTTTCAACAAATTGCTAATATTTTACGAGAAGAATTTGCTGATAAAGGTGAAATGTTTTTTTTTTTATTTGAATTAATGGAAAATTTTTAATTAATATTAAATTTGCATGATATAATTTAAAGAAATTTATCGTTTTGTTAGTTTTTTTTTTCTTTTCTTTTCGTTAGTTATTGTCATTACTGATAGTAAATGTAAAAAGGGCAAACAAAATACGTGAACTTGTACGTCAGCCTTAATTTTTTTCCTTTCCTTACTTGATTTATTATTTGCTGAATTATAACAAAATTTATATCCCTATATATTTCAAATAGCAGAAGACGAAACAGATTACTGATAACAATGAAAACCTTATTTTAGGGTATCGTATTCCACGTTTTAAAGCACCCTATGTTGCTCTGTGGTTTTATTCTTTAATAGATAAGGTAGCATTGCAAGCTTTATCATTATATGGACATGAAGATAATTTTGATAATTCTAAAGTAAGTTTCTGAAAGATTTCCTAATTGCATGTTTAGTTAATTGTTTTTTACATTATCTAAAATAATATTAACATTTTTGAATAGCAATAAATAATTTGAAAAATGTTATCATAATTTTATTATCAATAATTAATAAATAGTAGTATTTGGCAAATTGCATTAAAATTTATATCAATTTGGTTACTAACTTTGTTACTTTAATTTTAGGCATCTCAATTATTAGGTATGTCATATCAAAATGTGAGAAAGTCACTGTTAGAAATGGCTTATGATATGATTGAACGGAATATTTTACCAAGAATGAAGAATGTGGAAGAAAGAAAGTGGCTAATTTAATAAGTGAGGGTCAGTTGGAAATTCAATGTGGTTTAATTCCGATCGTATGATTATTATCATTTAGAAAAGTATTGTTGACAGTATCATCGCTAGTACTATATTATTATTATTATTATTATTATTATTATTATTATTATTATTATTATTATTATTATTATTATTATTATTATTATTATTATTATTATTATTATTATTATTATTATTATTATTATTATTATTATTATTATTATTATTATTATTATTATTATTATTATTATTATTATTATTATTATTATTATTATTATTATTATTATTATTATTATTATTATTATTATTATTATTATTATTATTATTATTATTATTATTATTATTATTATTATTATTATTATTATATTATTATTATTATTATTATTATTATTATTATTATTATTATTATTATTATTATTATTATTATTATTATTGTTATTATTATTATTATTATTATTATTATTCTTAATTATTATTATTATTAATTATTATTATTATTACTAATTATTATTATTATTATTATTATTTTGATAGAAAGCTTCGAATTTTATATAAATTTTGTATGCGAAATGATGTTTTAAGAATATGGCTATGTATAAAATATAACTATGTATAAATCAGATATTGATATATCAATAAATGCTAAAAAAAAATCAGTGAATCTAAAATATCAGTTTAAAGCTTTTATGATAATAAAATTAATGTAAATTTCAAAAGAAAAAAAAAAGATGGAATGAAATGAAACAAATTAATAGCTAGGTGAATCAATCAGAATATTAAAACGAATAAATGAATACATTTTGTAAGACAAATCTTCATTCATTCGGTCTTTTTTTCCGTTCTCTTTCTTTTTTCGATATATAAATTATTCATTTTCTAAGTAAATGATTTATTTATTCCATATAAATAATTGTAGCAGCATAAATAAACTAATTTTAAAGTTAGAACTTGCAATTATCCATGTAAAAATCGGGAAAAAGTTCTTTTTTTAATTAATACTGTAACTGGGAAATGTTATCATCCTTTGTTCAAAATAATCACGCATATATTGTTTCTACATTTATTAAAAAAAAAAAAAAAAATTAGAGTTGTTGCAGATTTAAACATATATAAGTTAATTAAGATATTTGTTAGTGAAATATCTTAATTAATATCACAACTAAATGATAAATATCCTCGGTGCTTAAAATTATCAATAAACTTTTAAGGACGCTAATATTTGCTTTTCGTTGACGACTTTCTGATTTGATTATTTGTCCTGGAAAGTTTCCAATTGAAATTGATTAAACTCAGAAAATGTTCGTAAACGAATAATGTTTGTTTATTGATAATTTTAATCAACAATCGTTTATTCATTTTTTTCTCTATCTACAAAAAAGAAAAGGCAAAACATTCGATAAATCTAATTTCATTAAAGGCTTCAGAAGCTAATCTTAAAGATAAATAGCAAATTTTCTTATGTGTGATAATATATCTGAATACGATAACATAGGTTTCAGTGTAATTCAAATGATTTTGTAAAAAAAAAAAATGATTATACAAATCAAATTATTTTTAAAATGTAAGAGTGAGATTAAAATACCACAGATAAATGTACTCAATGATCTCAGTTATTACTAAATTTTCATTTATTTGCAATTAAAAGTTATAGATTTTTAGCCTAATCAGTGTGGTTATGTAAAATAATTGAGAAATTGATCAGCTGAATTTTTAAAATTAAAACATGAGTGAGTGGCTCAACTTAAAAATGTAATGAATTGCAAGTAGAAGCATGAGACGCAGGAGATAATGTCAATTTCCTGTAAAAAAATTTTTTTTTAAGTTATAGATGACATAGTTGAATTGCACCTATGATATGATTGACATTCTGCTTGAAACAAAGAAAAGAGAAAGTGAGGAATAAGCTTGAGTAAATATTAAGAAAAAATAAGTAGTAAATAAGTAAATAATATCAATTATAGTTGTATTTGGTTAAAAAAAAAAATGAAATATCAATCGTAGTTATATTTGATAAAAAAAATTCCTGATATTCTTCTTTTTTAAAATTTCGCTCGCTCTCATATTTTACTTTGAATTAAGGATGGCAGAAATTATTGGAAGTTTTCATTTATTTTTCATCCTTTTTTTAGTTTTCAATACTGTTTTGTAAACTATTCCCTTTTCAATCTGTTTTAATTTTTCAACAGTGTTAATTTTTCAATAGCTAACTTCTTTCATATTGTTTACAAAATTAGGAGTTTATTAGAATCTTTCACTCAATAATATCAAATTTTCAAATAATTCAATGTGAAAATCATTACAAATAATATTAGCAGTTGATTAATTAATTTGTCACTTTTCAATTCGCTTTTAAGGAATAAATAATAGATTGGCAGGAAAAATTTAATATCATATAGTCGCTTCTAAATTATTTATCACTAAAGAGATAATTCATTAGCAATCCTACTTTTTTCCTTTTTTTTTCTTTAGATTTAGAAATGTAAAAAGTTCTGAATTTGATTACAATTAAAAATATGGTTGAAGTTTTCGAAATTAGAATTAATCAAACGAATTTAACAATATTTGCAGAGATTAAATATATGTGATCAAAAAGTACAATTTATGGGGAGAAAGGGAAATGATCAAACAAGCTGATCAAATGATGGAAATAATGGAAATTGTGAAGAATGCGAAGGTGCAGATTGTTGAAGCGCAAATTGCTGTGCTGAAGGCATTTGTTGTTCATATAGCAATGATTGCGCACGATGTTGTTGTTGTGGTTGCATTTGTGAATATGATTCATATAATGATGGGTATAATGGCGCTTCTTGTTGTTGTATGAAAGATTGTTGAGGTACATATCGTATGTTTTGAATAGCTGAAGCATCCAAATATTGATTGCTATCAAGTGGCATCGTTGATTGTTGTTGTTGTTTTGTTGAAGTAAATTGTGTTACGGTAGATGTGAAGTCTTTAATTGGTGAAATAGGTAGACCAGAACGATGTAAAGTTTCTGCAAAAAAAAAGTATTAAAATTTTACAATATTATTATTTATTAATACAATTAATCTAATTTGAAAAAAGTAAATTTATGTTTAAAAAGCATAAATTGTTTTCAAACATTTAGCAATTAATAAAAATCTTTTCATTCAAATTTTGGTTTCATTTTTGAGCATAAAAATTTATTAAAGGAGTTTAAATTATTTTTTCATTTCTTAGACTAATAAATGTTATACCTGAGGATAGTTTTGTTTTGGTAAATTGTTTTGTAGAATCAATTGATGTGATGATTTTATCATCAGACTGCTGCAAAAATAATGCATTTTCACTTTCCAAAATTAGTCGAAATAAAACGACAAAAATCTAGAAATATTGGTTTAAAAATTTTTTTTAATTATTTATTTTCAAAAAATAACAGATTTTTTCTCAAAATTCACTTCTTTGTAATAAAACTATTATCAACTGGTGATTAATGATAACCTGTGACGCAAATTGTTTAGAATTTGTTTCAGGTTGTCTATTCGTTTCATAATTTCTTGTCATTCTATCCATAATATACGGAAGAGTATTTTCTTCTACTAAAAAATTTGAAATTTAAACAAATAATTGTTATTATCGATGCATTCATTTTATGTGCTTATCATTATTATTATCAAAATACATATGCTATATTCAATAAATTAATTATTCTCTGATGATTATTTTTAATTAAATATTATTTTAATTATAATATGTTTGCATCATATTTAGTATTACTTGATATATTAGAGATCTGAGGCATTATTTGATATTACACTCCGATCAATTTTATACCAAAAATTTTCTTTAGTTAAAAAAAATGAAAAGCAAGTAAATGAAAATGAAACAAAACTAATAGTTAACCTAAATACTTAAGATATTCAATCATTTTACCATAAAGATTAGATTTTGTCGGATATGGAAGACACCAAAATCGTCGAATTGTTACACTATATGCTATACTGTAATATGCATTTACAAAAAAAAATAAACAACTTATTTATTATCAATAAAATTTTCAAAGTGGATTTCAGTCTCCATTTTATGTAGGTTTTATTATTTTACTTATTCATTAGTTTTATAGTATCAAAAAATTTACTATTAATTGCTAAGTTTAGTCAAATTTGTTTGCTTATTTCAAAATTATCACTACAAAGAAAGTTTATGTTATAGTTAATAGTAAAAAATATTGTTAAATTTTTATGTTTTACCGAAAAATTTAATTTAATTTTATAATTAATTAAATTACCTTCCATTTTTTTTGGAATATTTTTTAATGTTAGCAATATAATCAAATGCATATTGTCGTTCATCTTGCATTACCTCACCACCAACAACAATTTGTCCCGGATTTACGTCTGCAATTCCACGGTCCCACGAATTTTTTAAATTATCAAATGTGCAGCATTTCAATAACAGCCTAGAAATATTTGTAAATTTAAATATTGATTTTTTGTTAAATTCAGGAAAGATGCTGAAGTTTTCTTTTCTTTTCTAACAATTAAATTAATGCGGAACATTATGTTGCTATATTGTATTTAAATATTTAATTACATTTCTAAATATCAAAAAATTTGTTAAATTTAAAAAGATGAAAAAATTTTACGGTTGTGTAGTGATATTTGATGATGGCGACAATCCACCAACCCACTGCATATTCTCATCGCATGATGAACTAGCATAGTTTTTTTCACAAAACTAAATACTACATTTTTTTGCAAGTTGCAAAACAGGAAAAAAAAAAGTTTTTTAAATTAACTTATAATTTTTTGCTACGGAAAAATATTTCAAATTGTTCAATTTAATTTTTTGCTTCAATTTTTTAAATTTTTAAATAAAAACATTTCATTTCTCTACTAGTCATGTATATTATGTTTTATTCACTAATTTTATAATTAAAATTTTGTCATCAAAATTTAATCAAATTTTTATCACATCATCAATTCTTTCTTCCGTCTATCTTCAATTAAAAAATTATCAAAAGAAATTTTGGTTTTGATAATATTACTTTTACATTTCATAAAGTTACAATCATTTTTCTTTTTTCTCTCCATTGCAACATTTTTTATTCAATAATATAGTTATTTTACTGATTGCAGAATTTTTGAATTAAAGGATAGGCTAACAGCTAGCTGTGATTCTCGTGCCATAATTTTTGCTTTGTCATATTTCTTGAGATCAGTACGACGCATAAATCCATCATTCTTTCTGTGAATCCTTGAAATTTAATCCAATAATTTAAATGAATTTATTAAATCATAACTTTTTTTTTTGGTTGTAATAATAAAAACAGAGTAAGTTTTTCAAAAACAAAAAAAAAACTTGGAAATAGTCAAATTTAAACATTAAGCTTTTAGGAAAAGAAAAACTTAATTAAATTTTTTTGCCGTTTCCGAAATTAATATAACTAACCGATAGAATCGCGCACCGTTATCAGTTTTAACACCCCAACCAAAACACGACGGCCGTGCACATCCCAATACCGGTTGACCACTTTGCAGTGCCTAAAATATAAATTTATAATTTTTGGAAGGAGATAATTAACTTTAATTTTTAAAATAACATGCTATATTCTATATTAGTAAGCAATAAGTAAATAAAAGGAAAAATTACACATTAACAATCAAAATTCTTTTATTTTATTGAAATTAATCTAAGTTTTTTATCAGCATTTTTTTTGCATCTCCAACTATTAATTTAAATTCAAGAAATTTAGTAATTAAAAATGACTGATTGTCTTCTTTGACAGAAAGAAAAATAAATTAGCAGAATGGTAATTTATTAAACTATTTATGTAAAAATTAAAAAAAAATTGAATGAAATACTTGTAAACTGAATGGAATTGCATCTTCTCCACAATATGAAGCAAATATATATGCATTTTGTATTATAATAAGACAAACTGATAACGATGTTAACAATAGCATAATTTGATTGAATTTAATTTTGATCAATGAAATGAGTACACTTTCAGGCAGTGTAATGAGAAAAGGATGACAAAAGGATGGTTGACAGATTTGATTTCAATTTTGGTAGGTCAGGTCAAAATCCATCTTTTATGTCAATGACCGATTTTTGTTCTAAGATGTGATCCGCTTTCAAATAAATTCAAATTGTAATTTATTGACATTTTTTATGTTTATACGTTAACATATAATTATACAATTATTTTTATTATTATATTTGTAATTTTTGGAAAGAGATAAATTTAACTTTAATTTTTTAATAACATGCTATATTCTATTTTAGTAAGCAATAAGTAAATAAAAGAAAAAATTGCACATTAACAATCAAAATTCTTTTATTTTATTGAAATTAATCTAAGTTTTTTATCAGCATTTTTTTTGCATCCCAACTATTAATTTAAATTCAAGAAATTAGTAATTAAAAATGACTGATTATCTTCTTTGACAGAAAGAAAAATAAATTAGCAGAATGATAATATATTATTATTATTACTATATGTAATTATTATTATCAATTATTATTGTTGCTGATTATCACCATTGCCTTTTAATTTTTTTTTACTGTTGTTAATTATTACTAATGTTATCATTTTTATTATCATTGTTATTATTATAATTATTATTGTTGCCATATATAATTATTGTAACTATTGTTATTCATCTATTATTACTGCCATTATTATTATTTTCATTGTTATTGTGTTACAATTATTGATTGTCATTATTACTATTATTATTATTTATTGTTATTCTCATTCTTATTACTACAATTACTATTATCATTATTATTATTATTATTATTATTATTATCATTATTATTATTATTATTATTATTATTATTATTATTATTATTATTATTATTATTATTATTATTATTATTACTATTATTATTATTATTATTATTGTTATTATTATTATTATTATTATTATTATTATTATTATTATTACTATTGTTATTAACTATTTTTTTGCTGTTATTATTAATATTAAGTTATTATTATGATTTATAATGATTATAACCATTGTTCAATATGTGAACGATAATTTGAATCTGATTTTTTAAGCAATTCCAGTTTTTCAGTTTTCTTTTTTTTTGTCCTTCCATAAAACTATGAGGCATTAATTCTTAAAATTACTTTTATTGAAATCTCTCTACTGCGTTTCACAAACATAATTTCACTCGATTCATTCCATTCCACATATTTATGAAATACAAAAGGAAAAATATTTTAATGTTTCAAATATTTTTTTTAGCATTCAGAGAAAATTTATTACAATCGTTGACCTATCTATTATCTTTTACCCATTGATTGCCCAGAAAAGAGAGAAAGAAAAAAATATTTCTCTCATTTCAGCTATCATCCAATATCCCCATTAATAATTTCATAGTCATTCTAAGTTAAAAATTGTACTCAAAAAGGAATTACTAGTTTTTTAATCGCTGTAATTCAAATTGGTTGCAAAAAAATGATGCAAAAAATTCTGGCAAATTGATGATTAATCAAATAAAATTTAAAATAAAATTTTGCTTCAATAAGTTACTACCAGAAAAAAAACGAAATGAAATAGTGAAATGAAGAAATAAAAAAGATTAAAGTCATTTGAAACGAGCATCTACTGTTATTGTTTTAATTTTATGGTTTGTTGGAAGGTTGTTTTAATCAAAAATCATTCAAAAAATTAATCAGCTGCTAAAAATTATGTATAAATTTATTAACGAGTTATTTTTTCAAAAAAAAATATTGCAAGAAAAGTGAAAAATATTCTATAGGAAATTATAAAATTTATTTCAATTCTTTTCCTGCAAAATTTTTCAATTACTATTTTGTTTTTCTCAATAATTTGTTGTAGTAATATCCAGAAATAGTTCTCGCACACAACAGTGGTATCGTTTGACTATTTTTATTTCTTAAATTAGCTACAGTTTTATTTATATTATTTTTTATTTCAATTTAATATTCATATTAATTGAATGAAATATTCCTCCATATACTTAATTTACTTTCTAAATGAAAAAAAAATCGAAAAGATATGAATTTCACGAGATTTTCCATATCCTTCAGCTCCAAAATAAGAAATGGAAATAAATCTCAGTTGAAATAAAATTAAATAGCATTATGAATGCTTCAATGATGTTAACTTAATATTAACTTTTAAATGTTGCGATTTTACCAATCTGTTACCAGTAATTATGATTAATTATGTCTTTTTGCTTAGAAAATGATAAACTGAAAATTTTAAAAATCATATTTCATTGTTAAATAAGCAAGAAATTTCAATAATAGAAGAGGGAGATAAAATGGAAAAAGCAAACGAAGCAGATGCAATGCAAAAATCAAAAATTGATTTTGATGAATTGATAAGTGATATCAGTGATAGTGAAACAGCTGAAACAAATACATCCGATGAGCAACAAAGTGATAAAGAAAGTTTCAGGCAAATTAATGTTAGTGTAAATTAAAAGAAATGAATTAACAAATATTTAAAGAGAAAATGATAACATTGAACATCAAAAAAGCTAAATTAAAAAGATGTAAAGACTAATTTAAATGCTATTATTAATTTAAAAATAAGAAAATGATATTTCATGAAATTTACTAATAAATAAATTTGTTGCAAAAAAGGAATACAAAGGTTAAGGGAAGCCTGAAAATGACAAATTTAAACTTTCATTGTGTTTTCTTAAATGCAAATTTTTCAAACAATTTGAATCAAAAAAAATTTTGAAAAAAAAGGAAAAAGGCAAAAAAAACAATTTGTATTAAAATACAATTAATGATTTTTTTGGATATTTGAATGAATAATCTTAAATTTAATCTTAATATGTTATGCAATGCGCTAAATAAATAGCAACAACAGTTTTTGAAATATATTTTACAATCTAAATAGAACATTCATCTAATATGAAAAATTTTATATTAACAAATAAATTGTTACCAAAAATTTTTTAAATTTTTCAGATAAAAATGGGTGAACGTTTAACAGATGATATAATTGATGCATATTGTGATAAATTACAGGAAAGTGTTAATAAAGAAGTTGATGGAATGCTTGCAATGCAATATATTTTAGTTAGTGTTATTAATTTATTTAACAAATTTTTTATAAATAAAATTATGATGTGACAAGTAAATTTTAATTTAAATCTATTTTAGCTTTTAAGTGCTTAGGCTTTTTTTCATAGCAAAAGATTTAGAATTGAAAGTTTTACGAAATAATATTTTAATTTGAGCAATTTGAATTGTTTAATCAAAAAATATCATCTAAAATATAGTTTAAAATTTTGCTCTACATAAATTGCAATAATCATTTAAGGAATTCAGCAAAAAATAATGAGAAATTATTGTGATAACTGACAAGTAATTTTAGGTTAGCCTAAATTACTAGATTTTCAATTTATAAATAAATAAACATATATGTTAGGTATATATATTATGTCAGAAATCTCCTAAAATTATGCTTTTACTATGTTGATTGAATTACTCAATAAGTAATTTATTCTGAATTTCATTAGTATTTTATCAAAAATATTCTTTTTCTTTTTAGTTAGAGCCAAATTCAATAAAAAATTTGATAAAAGGTGATAAAAATATCTGTCAAGTGATCTATGATCATTGCCGTGTGCATTATTTGGTGTTATTCCGCAATAAGTACAATCCTAAACGCATCATTATTTATGATCCCATTGTACCGCGGCGAAATTCCGTTCTTGAAACGGTTTGTTTAAAATTTTTCAAAAAAATAAAACTTTTTTATCCCTTTTTTTGAACGAAATTAAACTCTTGAATAAGTAATTATAATAAATCTAGAGATTATTTCCAAAAAATCTTGAAATTACAATGTGGCTTTTTATGAAAAGAGCCAGAAAAATGATAATTTCAATTTTAATTTAATTAATATTAATAAATTCAATCTAGATAAATTGATAATTTTATAATTCAATTAATATTTCAATTTCATTAAAAATAATTAGTTATTTTTTAGTTTAATAATAGTGTCCGTAAGCAAATTTTTGCAATGTTTGGTCATTTATATGAAGATGATGAAATGGTTGAAATTGCAATTGAAACGGGTTTAAGAACACAAAATGATTCTTGGTCTTGTGGCTTACGAGCAGTTGCATTCATTACACATTTATTACTTGGCATTAATCCGGCTAAGTTAATTTTTAATTAATATTATTTTTTGAATTATTTGTTTAATTTTAATTCAAAAAAATTTAGGGATGATTTTGATTAGAAGAATTAGGTAATTTAAGCTGATGAACTCGTTGTACGCCATAGAATAAACAAATTTTTATAAAAATTTAAAAAAAAGAAAAGATTAAGAAACCTTTTTCAGATTGTTTTTTTAAATTTCAGAAAATAGAATAAATGAATAACTAAAGTTTCGTTAAGCGAAGATTTTATAAAGTCAAAGTTTTATCTTTTTTTTTTTTTTGTTTTGAAAAAAAGGAAATTGCAGCAAAAAAATTTCAGTTATGAATATGATTTGGAAAAAGTTGGAAAATTCATTATGCAAATTATTAAAATTGATAGGCCTAGTCGTAAAGTAATTGCTAATGGACAATTTGGCCAGTAAAATTATTGTTCCATTTTTTTTTATTTGCAATAATTATCATTAATACGCTTATTTTCCTAAATATTTCAAAATTTTAAATTTATTTAACTTTGCTAAATTTTTTTTAAATTCATCGTTTAAGTAATTTTATTTAGTCTAATAGCGCCTGAAAATTTAATAATTAGCAATATTCGTTTAAGCTTATCACAAAAAATTATGTTTCTAATATTTATTATTATAATTATTTATATACATTAAAGTTTATTGATTGTCACATGATTTAAGAATGATAAGCTAAGAATAGAGTAATGATAAGCCAATAATAGAGTGATAAATCGTTAAATATGTTAAAGTAACAATTTAAATCAATCATATTTACAGGAAAAGAGAAGATAGTAAATCACGTTTAACAATTATACGTCTAACTAAAAATGGTATTTTTTCGAATAAAAATGAAAGATTCAATTTAATAACCAAGCAATCTTCGTCCAAAACATTATTGATTGGCAGAAAAGAAATAAACATAAGACGAAATCGTGAAAAAAAATTATCAAAATTTATCATTGATAAGAATATGGATGATAGTAAAAGTGACAATGACAGCAGCGGTAGAAAAATGGTGATATTTGCATACATTTGATTTTATTTATTTTTAAGGCTTTTTAGTTGTAAATTTAATTTTAAAACTTTCAACAAAAAATGAATTAATTTTTAGTAAACAATTTTTTGAAATAGTTAAATTATAATGAACACAATTTTTTTATTGAAAAATGTTATCAATAACTTTTTTGTGAATATAAATGATTGAAATATTTACATTCGCTTTATGCAATAATTTATTTAATAATGAAATATTAATGGTAGCTAAAAGTTACTGTAATGAATTTATTCATTTATAATCTAATTTCTTATAGACAATGCTATTTTAATTAAATAGATATTTTGGGAGCTTTTTAATGAATAATTAATTGATTTGCATAAAGGAAAAAAACAAATGATGCTAATATTTAGTAACTTATATCTTTTAGCGTACAATTAATTAGCATTGATTGGAAACAGATCTTTAAATCTTAGTATTAAATTTTATTTTTTATTTTACTCGTTTTTTATGACCTGTTATAGAAAAAAGTGGGTGACTGTTCGAACTTTCATTTGTTCAGTAAATTTTGTTTGTTTTAGAAATTTTCGATTAGTAAATTTGACTTAAAATAATTTGTAGAAAATAATTTAGTGTAAGATATTGGTATTTTGTAAGCTAAATTTTGTCATTCACTTATGTTTTAAATTTGTACTAAATTTCCTCTCTCTTTGCTCCAATTTTTTCCTTTTTTATTTATTGATACTTTTTTTTGATACGTCTAATTGCGCTCTATTATGCGTCTAATTACGTAATTAGAAATTTTAAATGAACTTAGTCATATGTCTCGAGAAAATATCGAAAATTTTTATAATATTATTTTTAGAATAATTATGGATGTGTGAACCACATAAACCAAGGAGAATGAGCAGCAGCGAACATAATTCATCGAAAAATTTTAAATCTTATGAAGAAATATTGTCAACTGTCAGTGATAAATAATTATTGCAGTGTTTAATTCCAATTTAATTTTAATTTATTCTTTAAAATGACATCATATCCAAATTTTGCTTTTTTCTCTTATTATTTTACTTTAAATTTAAAATTAATTTAAATAACTCTCGTAATTTTCTTTCTTTTTTTTTTACATAAAATTTATTGTTATCAACAATAAGAAATCGAACCCGAATGATAAATAATATGATAAATGTCTTTGAAATAAGTGATTTTTTCTTGTTAATATTACGATGAATAAGCAAGCTTATTTTTGATAAATAATCCTGAATAACTTAAAAGTTAAAAGATTAAAAATAATTTAATTTTAATTGCAAACTCACAAGGAAGCACATATATTCCAATTTTACTTAACACTATATCAATTTTTGATTCTTGCAACTTTTGTAATTATTTTAAATATTAAGGCTAAAATTATTATTTTAATTTGAACATCTAAACATTTTTGATGTGGTTATGTATTTCTCAACATCGATAGGATAGAAAGATGTGATAAATTGCTGATTTGCTTGTACAGTTTTCACTGATTGATATATTTATCAGAATTTACTTCATTCCAAAATAAACAACAACTGAATGACTTCTAGTTAGTATTATCCCTTAATTTTTCCATCATTTTTTCAAAGTATCCACTATATAACATATTCGTCATATACTAGAAACTCGACAATTATATATATTTCAAATATTAAATTAACTTTTTGTTCATCTTTTAAAATATATTATTTGCTGCTACTAAGATAATTATCATTTAATCTATGTAATTTATAAAAATGGATAAACCGTAATTATGGCTGAAAATTGAGAGCTCTTTTTGTTGACAACAGGATGACGTTCCGGATATTTTAATGAAAATAACTTTATTGTTGAAATGATTATCTATTTTTAGCATTTAGCTTGAAATGTAAAAAAAATTGTACATTTCCAGCGGATATTGATAAAAAATTAATTAATAAAACGAATTTATAAGGTACTTATTACTTTGTTGTATATTTTAATAAAAACTTAATGACCAAAAATTCTTTATGCGCAATTCATTTGATTCAGTTAAGGGAGCACTAAAAATTTTCCATTTTGAAATACAATGATTGAAATATAATATTAAGGAAATGGAGTTCATAAAATTTTGTTTTTTTTGGTTTTTATTTTAGTTTATTGGTTACTTTTTAAATTATATTTGAAACTCATATTTGTTTTATATTGAACTGTTTCTCATTAATTTTAAAATTTCTACAAGTGAACAATTAAACCTGTAATCCATTTTTTTTTAACTGCATAAATAAGCATTTATAAATGGCTTACTGATAATAATATTAGCAAAGTGATTACTTTATCATCGACATGCTTTTCCAGTGTGATTGTCATTAAGTGTTATCACACACACACATAATATTGCTTTTAATAAGATCATTAATAAATAAAAAATATTATTGTTGTAATAAAATTTTTGAAAAAAAAATTTTTTTTTGTTGTTGAAAAAAATAAACTCCAAAAAAATCACTTTAGCTTCGAAAAAAAAGAATTTGGTATAAAAATGTTCAATCCTATTATTAAATGAATGATATTCAAATATAAAATGATCAACTTCAAAATTTTCTTTTTTTGAAAACTTTTTTTGACCTTTTACATTGGTAACAAAAATTGCTTTTTCCAGTGTGATTATCAATTAATGTTACCATATATATAATTGAAATGATTAATAAAACTATTAGTATGTTAATAATTTTGATCAGTTAAAATTAATTGAAATTGATCTATGCTAGTTTGAATTTTTTTCCTAAAATTTAATTTTACTTTTAAAATAGAATAATTTTTAATGGCAGAACTATCCTAAATAAATCTTTCATAAACAAGAACGATAACAAGTCCTCACACTTCTTTTGTTCATTTTGCATTTGTTGAATTAGTTGATCAACCTGTCATTTCAAATTACTTTTGAAACGATCTAAAATTTATTTTCCTTTTCTAGAACTAATCATAAATATAGCTTTATATCTTTATAAAGGTTAATCATTTAGAAATACAGTACTTATAAAATTATTAAAAAAAATGAACTCGTGCAAATAATTGGGTGTAATTTAAAACATTATTAAATTGTTCGGAGCATACAATGAATTAAATGGAACAGATCAGAAAAATCGATTGAAATATTTCAAATAAAAGTTGGCATTTGATGATATTGCTATTAACTTATTAATCCGAGGTTTTTTTTTTTTGCTTTATTTTTCTTTTTTCTAATTTCAATTTATATTTATTAATTTTAATAATCAAAATAAAAAAAAAAATGGAAAATATCCTTCAGACATTTTTTTTTCATACAATAGAATCAATCAAATCAATTTCAATACAAAAAATATCAATGGGAGCAAAATTAGAAACGAGTTTGTTATCTCTTTGAAGAAGTTGCGATTGATGAGAAGTAATGATAGTAACGGAATTGAAAGGTTTTTTTTTTTTTGCCCGGGAAATAAAAGCAGGAAGAAAAGAAATGAGGTGATTAAGAGTAAAGTATGGGTAAAGAGCTTTTTTCTTTCTTTTTTTTCGGCACTATTAGAACAAACCTTTGAAAAGAAAATGGCACAAATACCATACAATTGCTCTAATACATTTATTCTTACTAATTTTAGGAAAAAAAGTCAATTTTTCCACATTTTAATTTTTCAATAAAATAATTCAATTTGTTTTAAAAAATGTTAAACGATACCGACTTTTCCATTCCAAAAAGCTTTTCATTTTTTCCTTTTTTTCTTTAGGCTCATTAAATAATTGGATGATTTCAAATATTTCATTCTTTTGTGTATAGGAATAAATAAATAGCAATTAAGAATATTTTTTTTTCATCTTTATATCATCAAACATTAATCGGTAACAAAAAAAATCTTATTTAACTGTTAATTGAAATTATAAATTAGGTTAGTAAATAGGATGAATTCGCTAGGTATTGTTTACTGCTTTGCATAAGTAGCTGTAAAGTTTCAAACTCATTTCGTTTTATTGCTAATGTTAAGATATTATGGAAATTTTATCAATGAATCAAAAAAAAAATCATGGCTAACAATTATAATGTTAAAAAAAGTAATAAAACAAACCTCTATTATTTAAACTTTTTAATTAGCAAATTTCCAATTTTACCAATCAGCTGAGCAAATTTGTCAAATAAGTGAAATCATTAAAGTTTATTTTTGTCAGCCTTTTTATTATCACTTGAAAAAAGAAAAGAAAAACTCACAATAATTCATTTAAATGTTTTTTTTTTCTTCAATTATTTAAAATCAATCAAAATTTATTTTAATATACTAACCAATTAATTTCTAATTATAAACCCTTTGTAGATTATTTTGTCAACAAATTTATTGATTTATTTCCTATAATGCATATAAACATTGCAAGTATTTGCAATCTTCTTAGCAATTATAATAACAATAATAGTATGAAGATGAAAAGAAGGCATAAAATTTGCATATTTTTAATAAAATAATCAAAAGTCCCTTAATTGATAGTCAATGTTACTAATACTATATCACATCTTATCTTATTTGTAGTGTTGGGGCGCTGGTAGTAAAAGAGTGTCATGATTTGCGGTCACATTCACACTTTCCCACCGTATCATCAATCATTTTGAGAGATGGAAATTCGACAAAAATGTTGACATCGTTTGTGGCAACCACTTTGCTACTAATGACACACACACACATATATATATATGCAGACATGCACACACACACACACACACACACACACACACACACACACACACACACACACACACACACACACACACACACACACAGGTTAATTTAATTTGAATCTATTACTTTGTATGTTTGAATATAATCAAAGTATAAATATTTAGAAAAAATAATACATTATAACTTTTTAATACTATTATTGCATGCATTTCACATGGAAAATTTTCTTTTTTGCACATACTATAATTGTTTGATGTCATTATGATCATTTTTTTAAAAAAATTAATAAAGATAGAAAGTGAAAATAAACTAAAGTAATTTCTAGGAAATTATTTTAATTTATTAAATTGATTCCACAAAAATTTGAATAGTTTTGTCTGATCAATAATGTTAAAAAAAAGAAGAAAAATGAAAATGAATTACAATTTCTAAAAATTTAACTTAATTATTGGATTAAAATTTTGAGTTTTATTTACTTCTTTCTGGAAAAAGTCATTTTAATTATTAAATAAGAAATTTTTTTTGAATAGTATATAGATGCATATCATAACTTGATATCAATTTTTATCAATGCAATCATTAACCATTTAGCACAAATCAAATTCAAAATTTATATTTTCATCTTTCAACTTTTGGACAATTTTTCTTTGTTCTTTTTTTATTCCAAAATTTTTAAATTAACTCGATAATTAAAATAATTTCTTAAAAATTATGGTTTATTTTCATTTCCAGTTAAAAAAAATTTGTCACAAAAAAAAAAAAACAAATAACTTCTTATCATTTAAGAACAGCAGCTTCATTTGAAATTTTTCGTTTCTTTCATTTTTAAATAAAAAAAATTTTTTTTGTTTAAAGTACAAATCCAAAATTGCTTTTTATCATTTCATTTATTTCTTTGATTTAACTATCAGTTTAAAAAAAAACGAAGAAAAAACCGAAGGATGAAATTAATGGTGCTCTGTTCACTTATAAAATTAGATGTATTCGTGTTATTTTTGAGGACATTTAGCAATTCCAACGATATTTGTCCTTCTCAACAGCAATTATAATCCATCATTAAAAGAAGCATACCGCTATGACAGATTAATTAGTACAATGTTTGGTTCTTTTTTTTTTTTCTTTTTTTGCTACTCATCCTACACACTATATGCAACAAGTCAAAGGTCAAAAAAAACGTTGTGACACGTTACGTCATCCAATGATCCAAAAAAAAAGAAATAGATCATCATAAATATACCGCAGTTTTCCTATTTTTTTCAAAGGTTGCCATACTTTTTTATTAATAACAAAACATCAATACCTCATCTTGTAATTTCTTTTTTTAAATGTTTGTTTACTTATTTAAGAACATAAAAAACGAAAAAAAAGCAAGTAGCTTTGGTATGCTTCTTTTTCTTTTTATTTTTGCACTGATATTTCCCGACAAATAAGCAAGCTAAAATATTATCCATACAATAACGCAATAATGACGCAATATTTGCATAGTAAATCATTATGCATACAAAATTACCATATATCCTTCCTTATTAAATAGTAATTAGAGAATTTGATCAAAGTTAGCAATATTTTATTAAAAAAAATTATTTTTAACTTGGTTTCTTCCTTCCTCTTTTTTCTTTCTCTCCCTCTTCATTTCTTTTCAATAAAATGATTTATTTTGATATAAAATAGCAAAAAATTTATTAATATATTGTTAGAAATAAAAAGAAGCAAAAAAAATTTTTTATTTTGAATTTTAAACTTTATATGATTTATGATAAAAAAAAAACAGACTTCATGGAAAATTTCTGCTTTAATTGTTAAATTTGTTTCAGTTAAATCATTTCAAAAGTTGACAAATTATTTATAATTTGACAGATGCATCATTAAAACAATTCATAGTTAAAAGAATAATTATTAATGAGCGAGAAAATTTTATTTATTCAATATTAGAAGATAGATGTTGCCAAAACCTTTTTGTTAAGCATTTTTCTATCTTCTTTAAAATTTTTTTCACTCGGATTTTTTTTTTTTTAATACTGAAATTGTATTTTGCAAGTCAAAAAAAATTGAGCAGAAGAAAATAGCCATATTAGCGCATACTTTAACACATTCTAACCGGTAAGATGATGCGAACAATGCTAACTATAACTGAATTTAAATACCAAAAAAAAGACTCTAAATATTTTTTACTATCATTTCTTCTTGCATGATAATGAGTACGAACTGAGTCAAATATTTTAACAAAAAATAATTCAAAACAATTATTACTATCATTGCATGAAAATGAGCCATATGTAACTGAGCCAAATGGTTAACAAGAAATTTTTATTCGTATTTCTGAAAAATTCTGAAAAATGCTTCAAAGAATGAATATATATTTTCTATAAAAATTTTTTATCATAAAATTTCTATGATAAAAAAAATGAAAGAATGAAGGTTTGTTCAGACAAAGAAATTAGGCATCAAACTTTAAAAAAATCAATAATTTCATGAAAAATTTTTATTGAAACTAAAATTTAAATTTACGGTATGGACATTTTTGGTGAAAAATGTGTATAAACATTAAAATCAGGTAGTTGAAAGTTTCCATTTGTTGACATCATTGTTGTGTTTGAAGTTTGATACGGATTAGGCGCAACAAAACCACCATGCATCGTCTACAATAAGAAATGAAAAATTTTTGACAAATATTCTTAATGAAATCTCTTAAAGTCTAATTTAATTTTAATTATCAAATTGATTTAACCTTAAGTTTTATTTCATTATTGTTGCAAATTGATTTTATTGTGTTATTATTACTTAACAAACATTTGAACAACATATTTACAATATTATTTCTTTTTTCATGAGCAAACTTACAGAAAAAAAAAATGCTATCAGTTAACAAATTTTCATACTGAGAAGTGGAAAATGATGAAACTCATAAACTTGCCAATGAAACAGAGGATAAAATCAATGAATGAATAAAAATTAAAAATATGTAGATTAAGAAAAATATATATTCTGAAGCTACTAGTATCATAAATTGACTGCTTATTTTATTTTATATTTTGAAAAAAAAAGAAACATACTGGATTATTTGTTGAAAACCTTGGAAAACATTGTTGATTGATCGGATTTAGAAATAATGAGCGATGAGAATCTTGAGCTAATTGAAATGATTGTTCTGTAGAAGAGAGACCAGATAGTGTTATTGTTGAAGAAGTATTAGCATTATCATTGCTAATATTTGTTTGTCCATTATCACCGCCACTATCATCTAAATCTGGTGATAAGCATTGTCCACTTTTACAATGTACCTGTAAACACAAGAAAAAAAGCTTCCCATCAAAAATATTATAATTGATATCAAAAATTGGAATTATATCCAAAATTTTTCATTTGATTATTGTGTTTTTTTTTCTAATAATTCTTTATTTGTGCTTTTAATAACTATTACTAAATAATGATTGTTTATTTTTTTTAAATTTTATTTTACTAAATATTCAACTTGAACAATTTTTTTTTCCTTTTTTTATAAAAGTAAACATCTGTTATTTGGAGAAAATAAAAAAGTTTTATTATTCATTTTTTACTAAATATTTATTTAAAAAAAGAAATGTGCCCTTAGCATTAAATAATTGCCAGAATGAAAAAAAAATTGTTTTTGCTACTCATTTTACTTTTTTAAAGTGTGAAATCACTGCTGTCTGAGAGATGGTAGATGAAATCATGCGAACGATACCGTATCCTTATTGCAGTGCAGATGGCTTAGCAGCTTGAAATCTTTTTTCTCTTTCTTTTTCTCTCTCTTTTCTTTTTTTCTTTTGAAATTTGTTACTCAATTTTAAAATTACTCAAACAATAGGAGTGGCAAGAAAAAGTTAAAAAAATGTCACTCAATTTGAAAATTTAAACAAGTGATAAATTTGAAAATTTTGATTAAGTGATTAAATAAATCATAAACTATTAATAAACAGCGTAAATTTTGCTTCGTTTATAATAAGATACTATAAGTGGCCAAAACCTGATTTTTGAGTGAGTTAAATATATTTAATAAATGACAGTCTAGGTGTCAAAAAGCAAGCAACATAAATTTTATTATGGTTTAAGATTAAAAATTTAAATGAAATAATAAACGAAAATAAATTTTTATAAATTAAATTTATTCGTTAGAAAAAAAATCAAAAAACGATTGTGTGATAAATTTTACAATTTTACAATAATAATCAGTGACAACGATGATAATAATGATAAAAAATAATATGATAATAGTTAAAGATGATAAAAATAAAATATTTAGTATTAATGAGTAATGCAATTTAAGATTTTATCAATTATATTCGTTAACCACCAAATGGAATCATTATAATATGTTCTCAAATTGTCATTCCAATAGATACTGATCAAAATGATTCAATCATTTGTATGTAATCTGAACCGGAACAAATTTGCTTTTCCTAATTTCTTAGGGAGATAAGAATGGAGGATTGAAGAATGGATTGGATGGAATAATTATTAATTGAGAAGCAAGAATAGAAGATAGCTATTTTGCTACAGGTGACCTTAAATAGGATAATTATCAGATTAACTACGCGCGCGCACTAAATTCACTTTGTCCTTAAAATTTTAGTGAAGCAATAAAGAGATTTGCATATAATTAAAAAAAAAAAAATACATTTGCTGATTAAAATTTTCTACTAATATGAAGAATACAATTTATATGTAGACTTGAAATTTCGATGAAATAAATTTTTAAAGTTTTTATTGTTTTTAAAAGTGAAGTGAGATGTAGAATTAGATTTAATACTAATGGATTTTGTTAAATTTCAAAAAAAAAAAACAAGATTTTAAACTTACAATTTTATCAATTTTTAGCGCAAAAAAAATTATTGCATTTTGTTAAATAAAATTTTAGCAATTAATGCTCTTTTCAAGCTAAAATTTCTAAATAATCAAAATTCGATAATTTTTTTCCCGTAATTTCTACTTTTATCAATGTTTCTTTTTTTTTAGTCTGTCTAATTGTGCCGAATAAATAATCTAACAGAAGGCTAATTTCATTGGTTAACGGAAGTAATTAGTGAGAAGTCAACAAAAGCAACAAAAGCAAACCGATTTATTGGTTAAAAAGGCTACAAACAATCTGTCTCCATTTTATTAAGGTTTTTGTGATGAATACACCTTAGTAACAACTTTAATCACTTTGTAACATACAAATAAATATAACTTTGTACAAAATTATGTACCAAATAGGTCAAGATTAATTGACAATAAACAAACAGAAAGAATATTGTACTTAAGAATTTAACGAGTTAATTAATGGAATAAAATTATGATAAGCAATCTAGTCTATTATTTATTGAAAAATTATTAATTTGTTAATTTTTTCCGAAAAGAATTTATAGTTTGGTTTTTTACTGAATAGATTTAAATTTCATATTTCAAATTAAACTGTTGCAAATGAAAAATAATGAAAGAAATGAAAAAGGCTATGCAAATAACTCACGAACTTATTGTTTAAATTAAAGTAATATCAAATAACAATATATAATAAATGTATTATTTTTAAAATTTAAAATGATTCTGAAGCTAAATTTGAGTACGATTAGTTTGAAAGATTTCTTAAATTAAAGTTTAAATTTGAATCAAGTTTTTCTTAAAAAAAAGGAAAAAAACAATAATTTAACAAATAAATAATATATAATAATAAACGCATTGTTTGTACGTATAAACTGAAAGCTTAATATTAGTAAAAATTTATTAATTTTACGAAGTTAAAGTTAACTTAAATTAAAAATCAAAAATTTATTAATAAAATAAAACATTTGCAAAAAAAAGCAAAAAGAAAATTTGAAAAGAAAAATAAGAAACAATACCTTTAAATGCTTTCGAAGTGAAGAAGGGTGTGTATATGATTTGCGACAACCATTAATTTTACATTCATACGGTTTATCATTTGTATGAACATGCATATGCTTCTTACGATCGCTGCTATTAGCAAATTTGCGGTCGCAACCAGGATGAGTACAGGTAAATGGCTTATCACCTGAAAATTGTTTGCAGGGTCCTTGTCACCTATAGTTGAAAACATTGAAATTTACATATTAAAAATTATAATAAACGCTTTTGCTTATGATAGTTGAATTTAAAAAATATTAGTTTTAAAATATCAGGTAATGAATTGAAATTTATACAAATATTGAATAATTCCAATAAACGTTTTTTTTTTCTTTCCGCTTGGTGGTTATATGCAAAAATATTAATTTGCTTCTTGTCATTTATGAATGAAAAAAGTTGTTTGCAGGCAACAAATTGAAATTTATGTAAATATTGAAAACTGCAAGAAACATTTTTCGTTTTTTTTTTTTATTGTTAAGTTTAAAAAATATTAGTCTGCTTTTTTTCTGTTAAATTTTTTGAAATATAAATAGAATTGGTAAATTAATTGCTATTATTTTAAATGATAATCAAAGATATTTGATGTCAAATAAAAATAAATGTGACAATGAGGATTTATAGTAGTCATCTAAATGAATGGGTTAGTAGTTCTTAGGCCAGATGCCAGATTTTCTATCCATCTTTAAATCGTTAAATAACTATTTCTGCTGAGCAAATCCGCAAATGAATGAATGAATGAATGAGTGAATGAATGAATGAATGAATGAATGAATGAATGAATGAATGAATGAATGAATGAATGAATGAATGAATGAATGAATGAATGAATGAATGAATGAATGAATGAATGAATGAATGAATGAATGAATGAATGAATGAATGAATGAATGAATGAATGAATGAAATGAATGAATGAATGAATGAATGAATGATGAATGATGAATGAAATGAAAATGAAATGATGAATAATGAATGAATGAAAATGAATGAATGAAGATGAAAATGAATGAATGAATGATGAATGAATGAATGAATGAATGAATGAATGAATGAATGAATGAATGAATGAATGAATGAATGATGAATGATGAATGAATGAATGAATGAAATGAATGATGATGAATGAATGAATGAAAATGAATATGATGAATGAATGAATGTGAATGAAATGATGATGATGATTGATGTGATGAATAATGAAATGATATGAATGAATGATGAATGAATGAGAATGAAAGATGAAAATATGATGAATATGATGATGAGATGAGAAATTGATGAAATATGAATAATGTGAATGCAAAATATGAAAATGATGAAATTGAAGAAGAATGAAAATGATGATAGAATGAATGATGAGATGGAATGTGAATGATGAATGATGATGAATGAATGAATGATGAAGATGCAATGAAATGAATGAATGATGAATTCTTGATTAAAATTTTTTCTGATATCTAGATAATTGATTAACTTATTAATTATTAAAATGCATTGCAATGGAAATTTTATTTTCCAAAGCATAGCTGCTGAAGAAAATACGAAAAAATAACTTCGCTTAAATAATTTGGTGATAAAATAAGCATGTATCTGATGAATGTTTATTTTTGATTTTAAAAAAATTTCAAAAATATTTGGAAATGAAGAAAATTTTAGCATAATCTTGTAGACTTTCCCAGCATGATAAATAATTTTAGGATGAAATGTATATATTATAAAATTTATTAAATACTTATCTTAAACTAATTCATAAAATCTGGAATCATCTGGAAATGTAGTAAATCATGTAAACTTTACCAATGTGACAAATAAATAATTGTTAGTTATTTCGAGGGTTACCAATTATGAATATACTTAAGTGTTCTGTTTATTTAGTTCACTAGCTGATGCAATGAGCAGGTGTTATGTTACCTATCTATTATAATGGTACCACTAAATAGATCTTCGCCTATCTGAGGGTTCTTCAAAAATTTTTTGCCAATTTCTTTCTAAAAAAAAAATTTGTTTTCAGTTTAGTGCTAATTAAATATACTTGAATCGAATCAATAAGTTGAAATGGAGTGGAAAAAACACTTCTGAATTTAAATTTCATTTAACTTTTCTTATCCTAAATATGACATCTTCGTCATTTTTTATTCATAACTCAAGGAATATTGTGGCACAAAAACTGCTAATAGAGTTTTGGTATTATTAATTGAATGATTTAACTTAAATTACTACAAAATATGAAGGCATTTTTTTTAGGATTAACAAATATTTTTAAAGATTATTTTTTATCAAGTTAATACTTGAGAATGAATAATTTGTTAGTTGTTAATGAAGCGAGAAGAAATGAAGCTCTTCTATTAATTTCTTATTGAAAAAAAGGTGAATTAGTGGTTAGATAATCCTAAATGGATATTCTATTTTGCTATTCTAATCTTTTTTTTTTTTTTTTTTTCAATAGATTGGATTAAATCTGACATTTGAATTGATTTTTGACAAAAATTAAGATGATGGTGATGATAATAATGATGATGATGACAATGATGATGGCTTATGTACTGCTTGAAGGAAACAATAATAGATGATTGGGATAGAGAAGAGATAGGTAACGAGGATCACAGCTGCTCTATTGTGTATTTCATATTTGAGTGGATTATTAAAAAGTTGAATGAGGGCTTCACCTAATGACATTACTAAATTATTTTAGTAATGTAGTAAAAATGAAGTGTGAATATCTGCGAAGCTATTTGATTGTATAATACTGTAAAAGGAATCAACATTAACATTTAAAGATTAAAAATAATTTTACTGTTCTGATGATGATAACTGCATTGTTATAATAGTGATAATACTGAATGATTAAAAATAATTGCATTATTTTGTTATGATAGTTATGATATTGAAAGAAATAATCATATTACTGTGATAGTAAATATCTAATAATTAAATTTAATGACTAATAATGATTTGACTATTATTGATAGCGACTATTCATAAAATATTTACTGATTGAGAATAATTAGGTCATTATTTATAGTCATGATCAGTGATAATTAAAAAATTGGTGATGACAAAATGTAATAATAACAACAAAATAACAATAATGGCATAAAAATATTATCAATTGCTAACCTGTATGTGTTCGTTGATGAATTTTCAAATTTTCACTTCTTGCGAAAACTTTTGAGCACATTGTACACGGAAATGGTCTCTCACCCGTATGTACCCGAATATGATTAACAAGTTTATATTTTGCCTGAAAGGTAAATTTTATTGTAGGAAAATTACTGCTACATCGTATTTCACATTAAAATCAGCTAACAATTAAAACATTTATTTGATTAGTTTATGTTTTTTTAATTTTTCCAAATATCGATATATATTTCTCTCCAATATTTTTAATTTATGTATTTCAACATTTCGTCGTTCTAATAAATTATTAGTATTTTCAAATGATCATTAAAATATAAACTGATTTATTTCTGATTAAATTTTCATTTGCTTTACTTTTTTCAAAAGTACGTTTTTGTCTAAGAAAAAATAATTTTTTAAAAGTATATTTTTGTCTAAAATGCATTAAAAAAATTTGTTTATGTAAAAATTTTAACATTCAGAAAAAAACAGAAGCTCACGTTTAATATTTTATCATTTTTTTAAAAAAATTTCCTACTTACTACATTTTTTTTACTTCAGACTAAATTTTATTCATTTCACCATAGTAAATAACTTTAAACTTTAATAAAATTAATCGTACTAATATAATTCATCATAATTTCTTTTAAAAAATTTAACATTTAAAAAGCGCAAATTTATAATTTAATAAATAATAACTTTTTTGATATTAAAATAAAATGAATTTTATCTTACTTTAAAAATTTTTCCCCTCCTTGAGCAATCTTTCCACTGACAGACATGAAAAGTGCTTTCTGACACACCCACATGCTCGTGTTGCAAATGGGATACGATATGTTCAATTGAGTAAAATAATCGACCACAAATCCTATTACGCTGAAGTATAAAACGAAACTAAATTTAAATTTAATTATAATTAATTTAGAAAATTTCAATCGTTTGTATTATTGCTAAAATTTAGTCATTTGTTTATAAAATTTAAAAAACATAGCAATAAACAAAAAAGAAGTGCAAAATTAATGGCAATTAATTTCAAAAATTTTAATATTTGTTTTTTAATTGCTAAAATTTATTTTGTTATTTCAAAATTATAGTATCAGAAAATTAGATTCAAGTTCAGATTGTAATTAATTCGAAAATTTTAACTCCTTATAATAATTGCTAAAATTTATTTATTTATTGATAAAATTGAAAAACACAGCAGAACAATAATTTAAAAATTTTTAACTATTTGTATTAATTGTTAAAATTCATTTTGTCCTCTCAAAATCATATCAATATTAAATTTTTTAATTTTTTGTTCTTTTAGCAGCAGGATCTTTTTTTCTCTTTCAGAAATTTTTTATAAATGGAAATAAAATAAAATTAATTTTGCTTATTGCATTAAATGAAAAATGAAATTTTATTTTAAACTTAAAATTATTATTTAACAAATGAAGTAATACGGTTTTTTCTACTTCGTTTATAATTTTTTTCACAATTTTTTTTTTTTTTTTTGATACCAACTTCAACCCATTGGCATTGAATTGGATTCTGGAGATAGTTACCACTTGGTGTACCGGATGTCATCGGTTGCATGGCAAACGGAAAATGTGGATAATGAGGGCGAACAAACGGATGTGATGAACATGCATGACCAAGAAATGTTTCAGGATCCGACTTAATAAGATTATACGAATAGTCGGTTCCTGTGGTTGCTGGTGCAGAACTGAATAAACATGAATTTTGCATGAATTGAGTTTCAGGAGCAAAATACATATCAGGCGCAAAAGTGGCACTACGTGATCCATAACCATTTTCTGGAATAAAAATGTCAATTTAATATTGAACAACAACTTAGTCTATCAAATCTCAATACTTATTTGAAATTTTTTAAATTTATTGAAACTGTGAAATAAGTAATACCATTCTTGATGAATAATTGTTGTCCAAAAGTAGATTGTGATGGTACCATAGACTGGTAATAATTTCCCGGATTACAATCATTTCCAGGAATGATTGTACTTCCAATTTCCTTCGCCGGGATATTTGGAAGTTGAGCAGGTCTAAAAAAAAATATACAAAAAAAAGATAAGTTAAATTAAGATTAAGTGGAAATTTTTGATAAATTTTCCTGCATAAACCTTACATAACTTATGATACCGTAGTTTACAATAACGAAGCATATTATTGCAATAATCTCAATATTATTTAGAAATGTTATTTCCAATAATAGTTTTTTTCCGAATTTTTTAGCAACAGTATAACTGTGGCCATGAATAACCAATCAAATAACTCTTCAAATAGTTAGCAATTATCTTATTCAAATTTGCATTCTATAATTTCCAACTGGCTCCTATTAACAATTGGCTATTCTTGGCCAATTTTTAGCATTTTTCGTGTAATATGCATACAGAGCAGTTAAAATACGCTTTTAGAATACAATTTTTTTTTTCTGCTAACTTTAAAATTTTTTTGGAAAGAATAAAATGATTACCATTTAAATGAATATTTCACAAGGTTGTAATTTTAAGAAGCAGAAGGTTACGCAAATTAAGCATATTAAAAGATTTGAAATAAGTTATCAATCGACAACTTTTGCAAAAGTTTGCTAGAGTCTAAAAGTTAATTTTTTGGTTAGAAAGTTTTAAATATAGCAAATATAGACAAAATACCAATTTAAGAATAAAGCTAATTAGTCTGTTAAACAAAGTAATTATATCATCTACTTTTTTAAATTTACTTTTAAAATTAATGAATGAAATAACAAATTATGCTTATTCATATAGCATTGATATGAATGTAGATAACAAATTTCAGTTGAATATGGTATTTATATTTGAAAGCTAAAAGCTTTTTTCCCTTTCTTTTTTTCTAGTTATTAAAAAAAAAAATGATAAAAATTAAATAAAATATTTCATCAATAAGTTTGATTCAAAAAGAAAAAAAATTCACAAAATAAAAGACTTATGAATTGCATATATATTGTTGTTGTTTGATTAAATTATACCTCTATGTCAAATTTGGACGAGAAATGAAAAAAATGAACTCATACCCGGTCGGTAGATGGCTTGTAACGTTAAATGATGGTAAAACGGTTGGGGATGAGGTAGTAATGCCGGGTGCGCAATTGGTGGCCGGTTGATGATGCTGCTGCGGATGTTGATATCCTGGAGTGAGCATCAACGTAGTCTAACGATTTTCGTGTTAGTAGTTTTACCTAGGAGAAGAAATTAGTTGAACTTGTTCGTTTGACCACCTTCGGATCATGAAAATGATTAGACACTCGGCAGGGGCGCTATTTTTGCCTGTTATTTGGAAAATAGCAATTCATATTGCTTTGGGAGGAAAGCAAGCAAAATGCTCATTCATACGTTTTATACTTTTTGCCACGCCTTTTTTTCCTATCTACAACTATCGTAATCCAAATTTGAACAACCAATGAATTCGTTAAAATTTGTTCGATTGGTAAATTGCAAAAAAAGACCAAATGATCTACAAATCTAGCAGTATCAATAGCAATATGACAACATTTGATAATAAACTGGAATTATAGAGCAATAAAAGCAATCAACTAAATTTATAAATTATCAAACTGTCATCAAATTTGGAAAAACTCAAAGTGAAATGATGAAAGAATGAAGCGAAAATGATTGATACTACTGGGATGATAATTTCATTATAGTTGAAGTTAATTTTTGCACTAAATTTTAATTACATCAACTATTTCTGGTATGTTTTATTCTTCATTTCATTTTTTTTTTAATTTTTTGTGCTGTAAAAGTAGGAATAATTGTTAAATCAATATTTGTCTGGTTTGGAATTTAAATTGAATAAAATGAATAGAATCGGAATAGCTTTATTATGAAATTATGGAATACTTGCACAAAGTGCTATTGTTTTATTAGCAGCTATATCAAATAAGTAGTGTTTTTTTAAAGCTTTTCTCTCTATAAAATTTGTGACATAATCTTAATTATTGTTGTTGTTTATATATACTTTTCCTAATTTTTAGCATTTATAGATTTTTTATACTTTATAAGTTGTGTCTTTTTTTATTTAAAGACAAAAGATAGGAAGTGAAATGTTAGAAAATAAAAAAAAAAGAGCTCACCGTTGCAAATTGGTACCATGATGAATAGAGGAAGAGGAGAAGCCAAATAACATTTCTTCTTTAGAACTTTTTAAATTTTAATTGCTGTAATGAAATTTAAATGAGGCATGGGAATCTTTTTAACATATTCGTAAAATGCGAAAAAAAATAATAAAGAAACAAAATTTTATTCCATTATAAAGAAATTTCCATGTTTCAGTCATTTTTTAATTCAGGCATTTATGTGTTAATTTCAAATTTTTAACTACATTTTTTGATGCCATTTAGATTATTAAATTTAAGGGTAATATGTAATGATTGCAAAAAAAAATTTTTCTTTCATTTTTCTTGCAATTTTTTGCAAATTTCATAAATATTGACTGTTTTGCAATTTGCACAAAAAAAAAATTATGCACGAAAACTAACTTCAATTGTATTTATTTTGATTTCGCAAAAATAAATAAAATTTAGCACAATATTTCGTCAGATTTTTAAAATTTCGAACATTATTTTAATTTTACTATGTTGAACGAAAATTTAGAAAATGCAAAAAATTAATTCAAACGCTTACTGCGTTAAAAATATGCAAATTATTCAATTTAAATCAAATATAATAATAATAATAAGGTTTATTTAAATAAGAAATGATAAATATGAATAAGTAAGAATGAAGATCACAATAAACTTATGCTAGATAATTTCAGGGAAAATTTGAACAATGAATAGATTAGCTGAATTACTGGTTGACACCAAAAGTGATTAAAACAATGTCAGAAGTTTAAGCAAAATATTTTAGTCATATGTTTAAATTTGATTAAAACCTTAAATATTACTTTTTGAATTTTTATTTCAATTAAAATAAACAAAGAGTGAAATAAAACGAAATGTAAAGTGATCATCTAGCAGTTGTGATGATGATTGAAGTTGACATTTTGTGTATACAACAGATTATAGCTTTCATGACCACTGAAAAGATTATTAGTGATAGTTTTGCTGATGATGCAAATGATACGCTGATGTATTGCAATGATAATGATAGCAAATGATAATAATAATGATAATAATACAACCTGTCCTGCAAAACATATCACATTAGAAGTAATAAAGGTGACACGCGATTTCTTTCTCATATCAACTTGTCACCCGCATAGTGTTCAAGTTGTAATTTACATTCCATCAACCAGACAATCTTTACACTTTCTTAATTATTATTATTATTACTATCATCATCTTATTTCCCAATAAAACATCATTATTACAAGTTTCAGTTTAATTATAACACTAGTTTTATGTTAAAATTTTATTTTTCATATTTATAATTTGCAAAATTTCAATGAAATTTTAAGCGTTATATTTATTTTTATGTTTGATGCACTAATTTTTAAAATTTTCTCATAGAAATTAATAAATTGCACTGTCTAAAAGATTATCTTTTGGTGATTAAAAAAAAATTATACAGAGTTTTATTCAAAAGATTATATTTGTTCAGAATTTTTTTTTTAACTTGTGATAATATATCTTACTCGAATAACATTTTTATTTGGATGCTTTTGCAATTTTAGATTGTAGTGTTGTGCTAAATAAATTATTGCTAATGTTATCGTCTTTATTTTTTTCTTTTTTGCATTCTTTGAGTATGTTTATCATTTACCTGATTATATGTAGCAGAAAATAGAGTTGATTTAAAAAAAAAAAAAAAAAAAAGCGAATTCTTTGAAATGAAGAAATCTTTTATCAGTGCTATAATATCATTTTTTTTTTCATGACATTTTTTTGCACAAATTTAATGTAATAAATAATGTCAAAAACCTAAAATTTTTTAATATAATGGCTTATTTACGTTTGTTTATTTGTATTCACCAAAATTTATCACTTAATCAACTCTTTTTTTCCTTTCTTCCATTCTCCTTCCCCTTCTCTCATATTTCATCATTATGTAAATTAAATGATGTGAAATATCTGAAATTTTTTTTGAAATTACAACTTTTTATTTTTATTTATTTGTATTTTCCAAAATATATCACTAAAATTAACTCTCTTTCTTTCTCTCTTTCGATTTTTTTTTCGGTCTGACACATGTCTAATAGGGAGAGTGATATGAAATTTTTTGAATTAATGACATCTTTACAGATAAGAAAAAAAAGTTTGATTTTATTTTTGTTCAATCTGAAGGATGCTCATTTCCGCTCATTTGGTCCTACTGTGATGACAATGAATTGATGAAGTTGTGCGATGATAGCCAGTCATTTATTCAATATATCCACCCAATTTGCACTTATTCAGGTCAATAATTCACAGTAACCGAAACATTTATCACAATTTCCATTAATTTCATTCTTATTATCAGTAGAAAGTGAGACAATCGATTAATTTTGGTAATAATACTAGTAATTGGTCATTTTTTATTCATTGAATTTTCTTGCTTCATGGCATTTTTTCTTGTTTTTTGCTAAATTCAATTATTTAGTAAATATTATTATATTTAAAAGAAATTGGATTATGAAAAATGGCAAAAGTGTAAAAAATAACCAAAAATTTTATGTGAAATGATAAATTCAATAATATTTCTATCATTGCAAACGATAATGCACATAGTTTTCCTTTATAATTTGATCTTTCTTCTTCTCTTTTACAGTTAATTTAATTTGTATTATCATTGAAATAAAAAATTGTTTATTCATTTTTGTTGCTTAATTGTTTTAACCTAAATTGTTTATTATTTAATAAATCTTAAATGATAGTTAAAATGAATGAATTAATTTGCTGAAACTGTAGAAATTGCAACTATTTCTTTCAGTCAATAATGGCAAATGATCATCAGATGATTGAGTTAAATTATTTGTTGTTTATTTGCTAAAGTAACAATGTATCGAAAAGTTAGAGGTTAAAGGTCGAATAATGATGAATGAAAAAATGAGGGAACTTAGAAGAAAAAATGGATAACCTGATCGGTTCATTCAACAATTCCTATATCTGTTCTACAATGCAAATAATATAATTGATGGAAAAGTAAGCAATGTTATGTGCAAAACAAATATGATAAAATATCTTATTTTTTTGTATGTGTTTTGTTTACAAAGCACAAAGATTGTTTAATACTAAAAAAGATGAATGATTACTTAAGAAATGGAATTATAATTAATATTAGGAGTGATTGTACAAATTTTAATGCAAAACTTAAATATCTAAAATTTCCGTGATACAAAATCAAAACTTCAAAATAATTACATTTCATATCCTAGTTTTAAAAATTTTAAAATTAATCCTAAATATTATTAATAAGTACTATTCGGTTGAAACATTGCCTACAGCTTTTTAATAACAAGTTTATTTTTGTTAAACAATATTTGAGGCCTTCTTTTTTTACTTTCTATATCGAATAGATAGAATTTTAATGCAAAAAATATCAATTCATTATCCTAGAAAATCAATTTATTGCTTAGCAAAATTTGTTATATATATATATATATATATAAGAGTTTGAAAATTCCCTCACTTAAAATTTTGCTACTGCATTTTCTACTTCAAAATAAATATGTAAAAAAATATATTGAATTTTAAAACCATCAAAAAAATAATAAATTTTACAATCGTTTCATATTTTATAACTATAAAAGCTTTAAAATATAATTCGTAAAATTACACAATCAAATTAAACAATAATTAAAATATAATTAAGATTACACAATTAACTGATATGCAGTTAATAAAATTAAACAATTAATTAAAATATAGTTAATGAAATTACATAATTACTTTATCTATACCTTAAAGAAAAATCTGTTTACTGCAAAAAAAGAGAGAAGTAAGTGGATTACGGTAGTTATTTTCGATAAGAGAATAAAAAAACTGACAAATGCTAGATCTGTTGATGAAAGTATTAATCCTGCGAAGTGAAAAAAGTTAAGCATTCAATCATTATTCAGACAACAAATCTGTCAATCAGTGAGGGAAATTCACCAGATTTTGACACTTCAGATATGGACGAAAACATTGTATTAGATTATAAGTATGATTGATAAATTAGCAAAATAATGATAAACTAAAAATTAATTAAGACTGTAAAAAAAAGTCATTTAATTTGAAGAAA